ATTAAAGAAATTAGGAAATCCTCAGCTTATGAAAACTAAGTGTTGACTTCGAGGTTATTTTAAATGAAGCAGTGCATTGATAGAGCCATCAATTTTTATGAAAATCAGAAAAAAAATCTCATAAAAGCCCCTGCTTTGCCTTGCCTTGAGGATATTTTAAAAACAGCAAATTTATAAATAAAACAGAGAACAGTCCTTAAAATAAAAAGTCAGAGTGCAAAGTCTATCAGCTAGAATGCAGCTCTTCCACTTCCCTTGCATCCAGATAAGAACACAAAAGCTTGGGAAAGCTGGGTGGATTATTCAGGTTCTCTTGCTCGTGGCAAAGACAGGGACAGAAACATAGTGGCTGCTGCGGCACACTGCCCAGACGCCTCCCCCCGCCCGCCCCACTTTTATAGGCTCATTCCGTCTGTCAACAGCTAGGAGTGCTGGTTGCTGAAACAAACTGCCAGTTTCCTCTCCAGGAACTCCCTCTTTCTCTGGACACTGTCCTCTGCCAAAGGAAAGCTGCCTTGCCCAAGTCTATGCTTTCTCTCTAGGGACAGCGTGCATTCCATGACTAACTAATGTGGGGCCAGGGGAAATTCAAAGGACCAGCCTCTTCGCCTCAATTCATGATAATCCAGGACCCTTTGAAGGGCCATTCTAGCTCCAGTGCTTCCCCATGGGATCTGCTGAAGCCTTTGGTTCAACTGTACCACGGTTCAATGTCTCCATCTGTCTTGTCCTGGTTCCTCTACTTCAATTATGAAAGACAAAAGGAGCTTCCCAGAATGCTTATATATTTCTCTGTGCTGTCACTACTGTGGAATAAGACAGAGGAGGGAAGCAGTCAGTTGAAGGGTTAAAACTGGAAGTGAAATAGAAGAATAGATGGAGACAGCAAAAAGAAGAAGTGAAATTAAACTACTTCCTTTCTCCTCCATCTCAAGCTCCGCTTGTACACAGAGACTGAGAGCAACAGATGGACCCTAACTCCTTCCTGACTAGATGATGGACTTCTGTCTTCAGTGTCTCCCATCTTATTTTCTTACCTCCTAACTCACTTCCTTTTCTCTATCCACCCTTCAGATTTATGTAAACTATTAGATAATGTAAACATATTCAAAGTTAGCTTTGGATTATAAAATGAAGAATTGGACTTTCTGCTTCTGAGGTGGTCGTGATCTCAGCTTATGTTCTAATCTGCTTCTAGTTTGGGAGAGATCCTATGAGCACATCTTCTGTACTCACAGCCACCAGCCAGCAATACCGACTGCATCTGCACTCAGGGTTTACATCCTGATCAGTGACCTTCTTGGATATGATAGCAGCTGTACAAGTGTCTAGAGAAGCAGCCACTAGCCACATGCGGCCATTCACATTTAATTAAAATTAAATTTGTTAATTAATATGATGAAATTAATTTAAAAAAAAACAGTTCCTTAGTTGTACTTGCCACACTTTAGGGGCTCAATAACCACACGTGGCTAGTGTCTATGATACTGGACAGTTCCAATGTAGAATATTTCCTTCACTGTAAAAAGTCCTGTTGGACAATGATGTTAAATCTGAAATCTTCACAATATGGTCCTGACCATATTTTGCCCTATGTGGACAGAACTGATTTGGGTGACATATCTGGCATGACAGACTACATCAGGCAAGGTTTTAGACTCCACCAACTTCCTAAACAAGTAAGTTTCAGTGATCAGTTAGAAAGTCTGGAGACATTTACTGTGTCCTAATCACATTGTCTTCAAAATGACCCTTATCCCTTGTCTTTCCATTTCCACTGCCACCATTCTTAACAATCATGATTATACTGACAGTTAAAAGTTTTGAGTGTTTTCTATGTGCCGGATTCTGTGTGCTTCTTATATATCATCTCATTTAATTCTCATGACAGTTCCACGAGGTGGACAATACTATCATCTCCATTTTATAGAAGATAAGATTGAGTCTTAATCAAGTGTCTTGTCCAAAGGCAAATAGCTGGTGAAAGAAGGGCTGGGATTTAAACCAGTGTTTGTCTGACCCCAGAGCCAATCAGCTCTTAGATGCCACTGTCTTCATAATCACAGACTTAGATGGCTGGAAAGCATCTGACTGTTTACTTCTCTTTATATCCTTCCACTTAACAGTTCAGATTACGTACTGCTGTCAGACTAATTTTTCTTAAATTTCACTTTTTTCTTTAACATTTTTAATGTCTCTGTTTTGTGCTGCATCTACTCCATGGCCTGGCATTTTTAAAATGAGTTTTATTGATTTAATTGATTTATAAATTGATTTGCAATTTATAAAAGTGCATAATTTATTTCAAAATGTATAAGCTGATGACATTTACTTTTCAAGACTTTTTGGATAAAAATATTCATTTTATTGTTATTCTAGCATATGATTGATTGTGGCCAACCTTTTACCATTCTCTATATTTCTGTATACAACCAACCTAAACTTATTGTCCATCTTTCTTTTTTCTACGCCCCTCCCCAACCAGGGGAGAGATAATTAGCTTGCTTGCTTGCTTGCTTTTTCTTTCTTTCTTTACTTATTTAAATGGAGTGTACTGAACCTAGGACCTCGCGCATGCTAAGCACACACTCTACCACTGAGCTATATACCACTCTCATCCATCTTTCTTTAAAGAGTATTTTCTGCTTCTAATCAGAACAGCCTCCTTGTACTTCAGAAACAGGATTGCTTTCAGAGTAGTGAGGGCTCCACAATTTTCCATTTAATCACATATTCCCTTGAATTGCCTCCTGACATTTTGTGTTTATTAATGGGTTTAATAAACACCTACTGGTTGGCTGAAATCACATGAAAATAAATTTAAATTATGTTTCTAAGTCCTGGTAACAAGAAAGGAAGCTGGAAATATTTTCTAGGAAATACAAAGTGGCCAGTCCTGTCTCAAAGGAATATTGAGCATTTCGGTATCAAATTGTTAAGTACATCTTTTGAGAAAAATTGTGAGATAACCTACATGTATCCTGCTATAAACTTCTTCTAGCACTCAACCCATAAGGAAATAAATTTTCTTTATAGCCTTAGCTGAAAGTATCCAATTGTTGGCAAATAACACTTTCAGTACTTTCAGTGGTATAAGCCTTGGAAGAAATTACCTCAAAACCAGTAGAATTGCAACTAAACTTCAGCTTCTTTGTGGAAGTTTTGGAAAATGCATTAATGCTTGAAGAATGTCAGCCATAAATATAGTTAATGGAAGTATGGGTTTACATGTGGGTGGGGAGGGAGGGAAGATGCAAGAGAGAAAAACTGCTGAGTTGCCTTTCAGGAAACAAATTGTCTGCTGGAAGAACACTGATTTGGGTTTGGAGTAAAACAAGTTTGGATCTGAGAACATTCTTTGCTGCTTACTATGTGTTCTTTCCAAGTCTCTAATATTCTGTGATTTGCATTATTATTATCTGTAAAATGTGGATAATGGTAACAGTGGGGGGAAAATTAATGAACCCCCCCCCAAGATGTCCATGTCTTAACCCCTAGAACCTGTGAATGTGTTATGTTACACGACAAATGGGGCTTTGCATGTGTGATTAAAGATATACACCTTGAGATGGGACGTTTTCTTCGGTTATTCAACTGGGCCCAATCTAGTCACACAAATACTTAAAACTGGGAAACTTCTCCTCTCTGAAATCAGAAAGATGTTGTGACAGATGGCACAGGAGAGATTTGAAAGATAAGTGGGATTCACCCTAATGTTGCTGGCTTTGATGGAGGTAAGAAGCCGTGAGTCAAGGAAATGGGGACCTAAGTCCTACAACTGCAAGGAACTAAATTCTGCTAAGCAAGGAATCGAACTCTCCCCTCGAGACTCTAGAAGGAAACACAGCCCTGCCGACACCTCAAGTTTGGCCTGGTGAGACCCTTGTTGGAATTCTGACCTATAAAACCGTAATAACATAATAAATTTGTGTCCTTTAATTCACTAAATTTGTAGTAATTTGTTATGCAGCAATAAAAAATGAATACAATAACATTAGCCACCTACCTTGCAGTGCTGCTGTGTCATAACATGTATAAAAATGCATTGGAAATTATAAAGCAGCATACAGAAGCTAATTGGTACCACTGATGCTCTCAGCATTATCAGGCTCTATCCTGCTCTTGAATCACCAGGTTTTGAAATGACAGTCTTAGAAATAATAGCCACCGTTTACTGAGCATCTATTCTGTGCAAGATGTTCAATATATACAATATAATTTCTTCTGTCCTGTGACTATATAGAGTCATGCCATTTTACATACATGGGACCTGAGCAGAAATTTTAGCCTGTTGGATTTTATCAGATTTATATGTCTTTTAAACATTTTTACAATTAAACAAATTATTTTTAAAAATTGAGTTATAATTGACATGTAACATTATGTTTGTTTCAGGTAAGACATATTGTTAAGAGTTTATCTGGCCTGAGCCAGGGTGGGAAACGTTCAGAAACATAATTCCTATGACAAAATACTAGGAGAAAATATTGTAAGTTTTTCTTTGCTCTTTTTTGCTCACTAAAGAAGAAAATTAAAACAGAAGTTATCATAGAGAAGGAGATGCAGCACTTGTAGTGATTAAATAGAAGCCATTATTCAGAGTGGTGTTCACGAGAAGGTGCACAATTTACCTTTAGATCTTGGCTGGAAGATCCTCCTGCTGAACTGTGGGCTCTGATCAGACACAGGTCCCAAGGAGCTGTCTACTATGTGCACGCTCTGTGTAAAGAGAAAAATTAAAGAGGAAATCTTAGTTTGAAAATGAGACTTAAGGTACCATGCTTTGAATCCTGAAATCCCAAACATATCTCTACAGAAGAAAACATTCTTTGAAAATTAATTGAAGACGTTCAGCCCCGTGTTTGGACATATTCTTCCAAACAGCCTCAGAGTTCAGTGATGTTCTTTCACGTAGTCAGAACAAAACTTTGTTTTTGGCAGAGAGAGAAGGCTAGAAATGACAGGTCACAAGAATGTAAGAGAATAGGGAAAGTAAACAAATATCCTTGATTACTTAATGATTTTGATGCTACTCCCCACAGTTAAAGGCACGTGTCCCTGAAATTCCAGTTATTATTTAAGTTTCTGCACCCCTTCCTCAACTCTTATTCTGATACAGTGTGGTTGTCTAAGTTTGGGGATGTAGATTGTAGTCTTGGAAAAAAATGTCTTGACTGGACAAAGTTGAAGAAAACACACTCATACACTCATGACCTTAGTTTCAGGGCTGGCCGTAGGGAAAGCTGTGAAGTAGGCAGATTTTCCTTTTTTTCTAAAACCTTGCACTTCCCTTCCCTATTCTCAGTCCTTTCCTCCATTTCAAAATCTTCCACTCCCAGACCTGAAAATCCTCTTATGTTACCCACATCTTTTACAATATTTAATAAACTAATTCACCCTTCTGTATTATTGACATACCTTAAGGGTATCTGCATTTTAATGGAGACCTTC